CCCCACAGCCTCCTGCAACGATCCGCAACGCTGCGCAGGGCTGATCCGAGCCCAAGGCGACCCCCTCTTGGCTCCGATCCCGCCGCGCTGGTTCTTGTGGCGGGGAGTTCCTCGGGCTCACTTTGTTTAAGGAGGTTAAGCTTAAGGAGAAACACACACACACACACACACACACGGGTCACCCCACCCCCACAGCCTCCTCGGGCTCACTTTGCTTAAGGAGGTTAAGCTTAAGGAGAAACACACAGAGACACACACACACACACGGGTCACCCCATCCCCACAGCCTCCTGCAACGATCCGCAACGCTGCGCAGGGCTGATCCGAGCCCAAGGCAACCCCCTCTTGGCTCCGATCCCGCCGCGCTGGTTCTTGTGGCGGGGGGTTCCTCGGGCTCACTTTGCTTAAGGAGGTTAAGCTTAAGGACAAACACACACGGGTCACCCCATCCCCACAGCCTCCTGCAACGATCTGCAATCAGGGCTGATCCGAGCCCAAGGCGACCCCTCTTGGCTCCGATCCCGCCGCCCTGGTTCTTGTGGCGGGGGGTTCCTCGGGCTCACTTTGCTTAAGGAGGTTAAGCTTAAGGAGAAACACACACACACACGGGTCACCCCCCCACCCCCACAGCCGCCTGCAACGATCTGCAATCAGGGCTGATCCGAGCCCAAGGCGACCCCCTCTTGGCTCCGATCCCGCCGCGCTGGTTCTTGTGGCGGGGGGTTCCTCGAGTTCACTTTGCTTAAGGAAGTTAAGTTTAAGGAGAAACACACACACACACACATACCGGTCACCCCCCCACCCCCACAGCCTCCTGCAAAGATCCGCAACGCTGAGTAGGGCCGATCGGAACCCAAGGAGCCCCTCCCTGCCCCGCTGGCTCTTGTGGCGGGGAGTTCCTCGGGTTAACCTGCCCAGGACAAGAGAGTTGGCCCCAGCATAAGGAGAAACCTGCCTCCCCCCCCCCAGTAACCCCCACAATCTTCTGCAACTATCCCCATCGCCGCTCAGGGCTGATCGGAGCCAAAGGCGCCTCTCTCTGCTCCAATCCTGCCCCGCTGGTTCTTGTGGCGGGGAGTTCCTCGGGTTAACCTGCCCAGGACAAAAGGGTTGGCTCCAGCATAAGGAGAGCCCCCGCCAGTAACCCCCACAGTCTCCTGTAACGACCCCCATCGCCGAATAGGGCCGATCGGAGCCAAGCCCTCTTTGTTTTAATAATGCCGCGCTGCCTCTTGTGGCGGGGAGTTCCTCGGGTTAACCTGCCCAGGACAAGAACCCGGCGTATTTTCGCGTGGGTTGGCCGCAGCATAAGGAGAACCCCCCCATCCCAGTCACCCCACCCGCACAGCCTCCTGCAACGTTCGGCAACGCTGCATATGATGACCGATCGGAGCCAAGATCCTGCAGCGCTGGCTCTTGTGGCGGGGAGTTCCCCAGGTTAACCGACGCTTTTTTTTTT